AAGGTAAGAAAATTTCTGTTTATTGTAAAATATTAACCGACTTAAGCCCGATGCATACGATGCAAGTATTTCTTGTAATATATTATAATTAATATTAATATATATTTTGTCAAGCTTCTATCTTCTATATAGCAAACAAATAATTTTGTACAAAATATTCACTTAACGGACCATATATTTATTTAAAAAATTTATGTCTGTAATGTCTAATTTAATTAATCAAAATTGAAATACCAACTGAAATACAAATTGGGTATTTCAGAGTACTTTTTTTCATTTATTCCCAAAATAACTGATTTTTATGATGAATTGAAATTCAACCCTTTCCACTCGGATGTCTCTCTGGAGTCAAAATACATATTAATTTTGCATTTCACGAATAGAAAGAGTTAATATATTAAAGAAGATTTTGTAATATTTGTTATCATAAAAATTATGAAAATTTTCTTTTACAGTTCGTCCCACAAAAATCAGTGTGACCGGTGTCCAACACCATGTTGTCCAAGGCACCAGAGTCACCTTACAGTGCATCGTTCAAGGAGCTAGGCCTGCCGCCAATGTTACTTGGTACAATAACACCAGGCTGGTCGATGATAATATCATCACAACTGGAACAACTGAAAAGGTAAATAATAAAATGTAACTAGGTGTTATTGGTATTTTGCCTTGAGCCAAGTTACATAAACTTCCCGATATTTTTAAATAATCGACTTGATCAATAAAAATAAATTAACTTTTGAGTGATTAAAAGTATTCCAAATGGATTTATTACACATAATTGAAAACGAACGAACACGTTAACTAGGTGTATTTTCTAAAAGCAAATTTTCACAAATCAACAATTTCCGTAGGACTTCAATGGTTTAGTATGTTCATTACAACCAAGTACCCTATCGTTATACCAAGTAAATCGTCTAATTTATATTTAACTAACGTCAAAAAAACTACTCATTTTCTTAAACTTTGATGAATTTTTAAAATTAAATTACTTGTTATAAGGTCGTAATATTTCCGTGAGTTCTATAAGACCATGGTATATATCGCCAAAAAAATTCCATAAGAATCGGCTTTTTTTTTCATCAGTTATAAGAAAATAAATTATAAGAAAACGGCTCGGTAGATTTTCACCTAAAACTAATCAGTATCATTCCCAATTAATTTGATTCGAACAGTTTTTGACTTTTTAAAACTAATTCGGCAGTATGAGCTTAAATGTGGACGAAAAGTTTAACACTTTTTTTTCAAATTACAAAGAAACGGCTCGGCCGATCGTCGTACAAAAGTGACAAACGATAGTCCTCATGGAGATACATAGAACAGCTGAAGAATTTTTGAAATCAGATAATTTGATGAAAACATGAGCTTCTCCTTCATAATTAATATATAATTAATTTTATAATACTTTAATAAAATATATTTATAATACTTAAATAAAATTTTAGTTTGTCTACAATTTAAATTAATTTTCATAAATAATTGATACAACACTAAATAAAATTTTAGTTTGTCTACAATTTAAATTTAATAACATAATTTCAAACAATATTAATAATATAAATAAAATTTAACTCTGCCCATAGTTTAAATTTAATAAACTACATTAAATTAATCAAGTTTGCTGTATAATAATAACTATTGATTTAATAAGTCATATTAAAATTTAATTTAAATTGGGATATAACCTCCTTAAGTTTTTTAAAAATACGTAATATCTTCACTAATAAGACATATTTAATATATCGGTAACCCCCGTATAACACGGTAGGTACGTTCCAAAAAACTAGCGAGGAGAGGTTATGCCACAAATGATGATTTTATAACGAATATTTTTATTCGTTATTCGTTATTCGCTTATTAATTTTTTTTGGGAAATAACATATATTACATTAATTATACGATTTTTGTTCGTCATAACTAACAAATAAGTGCTATTCAGGGCGATCATATATATTTAACATATGCAGCTATCTTTATCAAACTTTTATGCTTATTTTATTTAAATAATCTTTGTTTAAAAAATATGAAAGGTATTGCTCGCATGATTCTAGAATTTAATAAATATCAAATTACTTAACTTCTGCACAGCAAATCCGTTATAGAAGTACCGTGTTATGTGGGGGTTACCGGTACTTTTTAAATTTTCATGGATAACCACAAACTATTATGAAGAAAAAAAATTAAATAAATTTTTTATTAATAAATATATGCCGAAGATAAAACCGGTACGGCGTTTTGCACACTGACTAGAAACTCGCGTAGTTTTAGGTTAAATGCAAAACTTGCGTACCGGTTAAGGGTAGTTTAATACATCACTTTTAAAAATACTGTATCAAAATACTTCAAATAGTCCTAACCTGGAAATTTTGTTTGTTAATGTCAATTGATTATATTACTTAATTTTGCTTTACAATTTTTGTAGTCCGAAACTTGAACTTGAACTAAAACACATCTGAAAGTTGAAAAACGCGTAGCATCGCAATAATAATTTTTATACATTTTATTCATAATGTTTTAACATGTCAATTTAGTATACAATCTCCCTTTATGGCTGACAATAGTAAACTCCCCAAATTGACTAAATGTCCTTAACTTGGGTAAATAAAATAGAGAATAAAAATAAAGTTTTAATTTTTATACTTTTTTTAAGGATGATGGCACTTTTGAAACTCTGAGTCAAATGGTATTCACTGGAACGAGATATGAAAATGGCCAAAATTTTCGATGTGAAGCCGACAATGTGGTGATTCGAGAAGACATTGATAAACCCATACATGATTCTATATTGCTGGATGTACGATGTAAGTTCATTTTATTCTTGGAGAATATTTAAACTACTTAATAGTTTACTTACACGTTAATCATTTTTCGTCATTTACGTATTTAATATTTACGTTAATAAAACGTAAATGTTACGTATAGTTGCAAACTTCAATCGGCCTCAACGTAGATACTTTGTTTTGTTCATTACTTAACAGTTACGTTACATGGTTTCATAGATTTATCATACAAAATGGACAGTTTTGTACTGAAATCAATAATTCTAATTGGTAGGTAGATCTAGGTACGTACTGACAAAACTGCTTTTCTTGAACACATTAGTAAATTATTTTAATTACAACTTTTGTTTCTATCCATTTTTTTGGTTAATATTAATTTTTAAGGCTCGCCCGTAGGTAAGCAGTTAAGAGCGACGGGGCTTGTTTCAGAGGTCCCGGGTTCGTTACCCACTTCGAGCAGCCTGTTGTCAGGCAGCAGTGACAACGATTTTCACTTGGAAATATAAATAGCAATATGTTTCCAAGTGGAAATAGCCATCACCCGGCATTGTTGCACCATACTTGCCCTATTACGGAGATTGTAATAAAAATTTATCATACAGAGATGTGACAACTGTTTGGGTTGTCATCTGTAAAAAACAAACGTAGTTTGTAAGATATTAATCACAACATCTCATAGAACCCATAAGTTCTGATCGCTGTTCAAATAAAATTATAAAAAAAAAAAAAAAATTATTTAAGCTTTTGAGAGCATGAATTTTAATTATTATCCATTAAGTGTTTTTATTTTGTTTATAATAAATTTATACATTTTTTTACAGATCCACCTGTTGTAAAAGTGAGACCATTATCCATAACCGTAATGAAACAGCAGATATTTTACTATTTTGCGAATACGAATCCAACCCTGCTTCATTGGACCAAGTTGTATGGTAAGAATATATAAAAAAATAATAATTATAACTACATAATAATAATTCCATAGAGAAAAAAAATCAAATTTTCAATTAATTTTAAACTCCAGCCTTCTAGTAGCTTTGCAAGTTTATTATTATGACCATAAAAACTTACATCATTACATCAATGTTAATTGTTTCCACACTTCAAGGGGCGCCACTAACCGTGCATGTAAATTTACCCCTAGTTGTAATTATAGATAAGAATTATATAAATGGAAAACCTGAATGAAAGTAGATGAGTAGATGAATAAATGATATATTTTCACTTAGATAACCAGTAACATACACCTTTTGTTGAGCATGTTAAACACTTAAACCGGGTAAATCACATTTGTTCTGTGTTTATCCCCCTCTGTTTTACCAACTAATAATTTTCATAGTCTATAATTTGAAAAATTGTCTTTTTTATTTAGGCTTCATAACGGAAAACCTATAAATATGTCAAGTGGTCGATATGATGGTGGTACAACAGAACATCAGGCCCTTCAGATTAAAAATTCGTCCAGAACTGACATAGGAACTTACGTATGTGAACTTACGAATAATGTTGGTAAAGGAAAAGCGCCTCATGATATACAAGTTGATGTTTTATGTGAGTAGAAACATATTTTATTCTATGTATTTATATACATTCCCGAGGCAGTAGTCAACGTAGTAGTAGTCTACTGCCTCGGGAATGTACGCATAAACTACTTTTTCCGTGCAAAATATATTATATTTCACAAATATTTTGCTATGCTTTGTTCAACAAAAACCAAAAAAAACAAGTTGTTGTATATATGATAGTGCAAAATTATGTGCCATATGCTAGTTACGGATTTAAGACCTTATTTATATCCACTGATGATGACATAAAATCCTATGTCGAAACGTTTAACTTCTAAATCTTTGCCTTTTATTTGATGTATTGCCCTTGAAGAAATTACTCATATATATATATATATATATATATATATATATATATATATGTAATATATTATATATATGTAATATATAAACAATACTCACAGAACATAGTTTCTCTTTAGACACAGAGAACCAAATCGAATTTGAAAATACGCGCCACTTGTTAAATTTCAAAGTGTCTCATCTTTCTAAAAGCATACTCTATGCTTCAAATGTCAAATAATAATTGTAGAAATCTTTATAATGTCGAAAATTGTTGTTGATTAAACTAAATTATTCTTTAAACCACAAAAAATTTTCGTAAATATTTGAAATTATTTAAATTATTTCGTGATTGTGAGCAGTGAATATATTCAAAATGTCAGAAGACACAATTATGCCTATAAACTGTCAGAAAATTAAAATTGAACCATCAGAGTATTCAGAAGACATTAAATGCGAAATTGAGGATCAAGTTGATGTTCTTGATGATAATGTTAAATCTGAGAAAGATGAAATGTGTTTAGAAAGATTCATGAATTCTGAAGTGACAATAGAAGAAATCAAACAGGAGCCAATCGATACACCACGTTGTGTATGTGACATTTGTAATCAATCATTTGCAGAATCTGATCAATTAAAAGAGCATATGGTCGTTCACATGCCTAGTCAAAGCAAAGAACGTCCTTTCGAATGCGAAATCTGTCATAAAACTTTCAAAGTATCAAAAGGGTTGAAATTACATATGAATAGTCACACGTTGATGCACAAAGGAGAACGCCCCCATGAATGCAATATTTGTAATAAATCATTCATACGATTAGGTCATCTGAAAAGTCACATGCTTATTCATAGTGGTGTGCGCCCCTATGAATGCACCATATGCAATAAATCATTCACACAATTAGGTCATCTGAGGGTTCACATGGTTATTCATAGTGGAGAACGACCCCATGAATGCAATATATGCAATAAGACATTCGCACATTCAGGTAATCTGAAAAATCACATGGTCATTCACAGTGGCGAGCGTCCACACGAATGCACTATATGCAATAAGACATTCACAGAACTAGGTAGTCTGAAACGTCACTTGCTCATTCACAGTGGAATACGCCGTCATGAATGTGATGTATGCAATAAGACTTTTACAGAATCTGGTAGTCTGAAACGTCACATGTTCATTCACAGTGGAGAACGACCTTACCATGAATGCAGCATATGCAATAAGACATTCACACAATTAAGTTTTCTCAAAAAACACTTGCTGAAACATAACAGAGAGCATACTTATAAATGTGAAATTTGCAATAAGGAATTTATTCAATCAAAGGATTTGAAGAAACACATGGCACTTCATAGTCTGAAGCATGATGAAGATAAATAAAATATAAACAAATTACATTGAATTTAAATATTTTGAAAAATGTTATAAAGTATCTTTACGTGTAATAGAATGTACAAATGGTATAAAATTTACAATGAATATCACATATGTTTGTATAGACAATCAAGGCAATTGTTACATATTACATTATTCTATAATTGTTTTTCATATTTTAATTTTTATAAAGTATTAACACACTATAGGCGGGCAGAATAAAAATATGCTCTTTGAGGACTGATGCTTATCAGCGCGCAGGATGTTTTTATGCTTTTGAATACTAGTAACTTTAACATCAGTTTACATGTGGATTAATAGAGTTTGCTTGTATTTTTTGTTTATCTTCAATTGATTTTTCAATTGTCTTTAATTTAGTATTATAGTATTTAGTATATTTAGTGTTTTGATAATTAGCAAAAGGGTATGGGCGTGTTTCCATGCAAAATTGGCCCCACCCTGGTATTTAAATTATTTTGATGCCATTTTATAGGTATTTTCGAGAAAATTCGATATACCAAATTTCAAATCCGTAGCTCATCATTTGGCCGAGATATCAGTGAAAACATGTGAAAGTGGCCCCTTTTTTCAAACTCACTTTTTGTTGGAAATATGAGAGATATCGAAAAACTGTTTACGTCATTCTATTTGTACTGATCTTGTCTATATTATTTATAATGAATAATGTTAAAAAATTGTCATTTACTGCATGAAAAGTTGAAAATAAGTTTTTATTTGAAATTTTCGACCAGTACGGTTAATTTGACTACTTTCTAAATAGCATCATTTTAAAGCCTGTATATTTTAATTTTATTATCCAAAATTATATTTGAATCGAAGTGGAACTTTTTATAAAAAGTTGAAAAAACCGAAGGTAGTACACGCGGAACCCGTAGAATATCTGTGTAAGCGTCTCTCAATAGCAAACCAGTGCACATTATGCGCTTGGCGCGCATCGGAACATATTCTATATAAAGGTAATACTTATTTAAAAAATAAAATTAGATATATACATTTATGTCTTTTATATTCATATATTTATGTATATAATTATTGTGGTTATATATTTATATACAATGTTTTTTTTTGTTTTGAAATTATACCTAAAACTTTATTTGCTTTTTATATTTTATATTGTTAATGTATATTATTTTATAACGATAGAAATACATAAATAAATAGTCACTATATTTACCATAGTAATATGGAAGTTGAGTTACGAAGTTATTAAGACACTTTTAATCGTAGTCGCTATCATTGTTAATAGAAACTGTAGTTCTTTCTGTTATAAATATTATGTCTTTTATATTTATATTTTGTGTATACAAATAATGATGCATTCAATCATTCACTCACAATAAAAACTAAATATACAATTATTCTTTGAATAACAATTGGAATATTGAGATAAAAATACGTTCTTTACTCTGTATTATTGCAGTATCGATAAAGATATGACAAAGATAGAAGAATATAATATAAAAAATTCTTAATAATTTGAAATGCTCTAGCTTTGTTACTTAATTTTATTTTAAAAAATGCATCAGTTTGTGTTTAAGCTGCTTCCAGTATAGTTACTTCAAGAATTTATAATAATCTATCAGAAAATATAATGTTTCAGTAATTACTATCATAGATATCAGAGTTATTTTATTTTAGTTGTTTGCTTTTTTGTGTTCTGTGTGAAATCTGTATTTAGATTTTTTCTGATTCAAATCCATTGTTATTTTAGTGAGAGCTTTGGTGGTTTAGTGGGTATTTTAGTAATTTCATAATTATAAACTTAATAGAAACAATAATGCTGGAAAATTGCAAAATCTGCAATAAACAAGTGTTTAAAAAGTTTCTATTAACAATGTTAATAACAAGTTAAACAGTTTCTTTTAACAATAATAGCGACTACGATTAAAAGTGTCTTAATAACTTCGTAACTCAACTTCCATATTACTATGGTAAATATAGTGACTATTTATTTATGTATTTCTATCGTTATAAAATAATATACATTAACAATATAAAATATAAAAAGCAAATAAAGTTTTAGGTATAATTTCAAAACAAAAAAAAACATTGTATATAAATATATAACCACAATAATTATATACATAAATATATGAATATAAAAGACATAAATGTATATATCTAATTTTATTTTTTAAATAAGTATTACCTTTATATAGAATATGTTCCGATGCGCGCCAAGCGCATAATGTGCACTGGTTTGCTATTGAGAGACGCTTACACAGATATTCTACGGGTTCCGCGTGTACTACCTTCGGTTTTTTTCAACTTTTTATAAAAAGTTCCACTTCGATTCAAATATAATTTGGATAATAAAATTAAAATATACAGGCTTTAAAATGATGCTATTTAGAAAGTAGTCAAATTAACCGTACTGGTCGAAAATTTCAAATAAAAACTTATTTTCAACTTTTCATGCAGTAAATGACAATTTTTTAACATTATTCATTATAAATAATATAGACAAGATCAGTACAAATAGAATGACGTAAACAGTTTTTCGATATCTCTCATATTTCCAACAAAAAGTGAGTTTGAAAAAGGGGCCACTTTCACATGTTTTCACTGATATCTCGGCCAAATGATGAGCTACGGATTTGAAATTTGGTATATCGAATTTTCTCGAAAATACCTATAAAATGGCATCAAAATAATTTAAATACCAGGGTGGGGCCAATTCTGTATGGAAACACGCCCAGACCCTTTAAAGTTAAGATATTTCTAAAACAACAAACTGTTTATTCCGAACATTTTATTTGTATACTTTCGTATAAGCTAGATTTATTTAAAAGCTAGGGAAAATTGTTGTATGTTAATGGTGATGAGTATTTAGTTATGCGTGAATATTGGACATTTACTAACATTTCTTTGAATAACTTGGAAATTTTATTCCGGCCGCTATCCTCTATATACTTCAGTAAAAACTAGATAAATTTTAATAAAACCTGGTATAACCTCTATTATTTACACTTACATACTAAAATTTTAAATAATTCGGAGTCAAATTTTCGACTTCAGTGACTTGAACATTTGCTATAAATAAATGATCTTAGAACATTTTTTAATTTTCTTCAAAAAACTTTTAATTTTTTTTTTTTTGTACATTACAAAATCCAGATAAAATTTACAAAAGGCCAGTTGAAATCGTTTTTTATACTGGGATATTGAAATTTTAAATAATTCCTAGTTGAAATGCAGACTTCATTGCATTAGAACATTTTTGACTTTATTTAAAATAACTTTTGATTTTTATTTCGAACTTTATAATTTATTCTCATCAGCAAAAACTAGATAAATTTACTAAAATTTGGTAAAAACTGTAATATACACTTGAATATTGAAATTTTGTATAATTCATAGTTAAAATGTGTACTTCAGTAATTTTATAATTTGCAATACATGAATGAGGAGCATTTTTTTAGATTTCTTCAAATAACTTTTAATCTTCATTTCGAACAGTAAAATATGTTGACATTAGTAAAAATTAGATAAAATTCACTAAAATTTAGTCAAAAATGTTTTATGCACTTGGATACTGAATAATTCGTAGTTGAAATGCGGACTTTTTATAGTTTGCAATATGTACATGAATTAGGTACATATTTTTAGTTTTTTTTTATTTCAAATAACTTTTAATTTTTATTCCGAATATTATATGTTTACATTAGTAAAAACTAGCTGAAATTTAAGAACTTTTAGAATTTAAGAAGTGTTACAAAAATTAAGTTTCAGCAATTTGCGTTATGGCACGGTGTCATTCACCAATAGCTTAACTAATAATCTGAAATTATTTCATTATCTAGGAATTAATCATTCTAGAATTGTTAAAAAATTATCTGAAGACAGTTTCAAATTATCATATTAAATTTGAAAATACGCGCCACATGTTATATCAAAGTGAAGTGGTCAATGTCTCATCTTTCTAAAAGAGTACTCTATGCTTCAAATGCCAAATTACAAATGGAAACATAGATAAGGAAATTAATGGAAAGTTATTGTTGATTAAACTAAATTATTATTTCTCCCACAATTACTTTTATAAACATTTATAAGCAGTGAAATTATTTAGTAAAATGAGTAAAGCAGTGAATAATTTAAACATGTCAGAAGACACAATTATGTCTATGAATGATCAGAAAATTAAAATTGAACCACCAGAATATTCAGAAGAAGATATTAAATGCGAAATTGAGGATCAATTTGATATTCTTGATGATATTGTTAAATCTGAATCGTGCCCTGAAGACCATGAAACATGTTTAGAAAGATTCATGAATTCCGAAGTGACTATAGAAGAAGAAGTCAAACAGGAGCCAATCGATACTTGTGATAATACTGGATTATTTGCAGAACCTGATCAATTAAAAGAGCATATGGTCAGTCACATGCCTAGTCAAAGCAAAGAACGTCCTTTCGAATGCGAAATCTGTCATAAAACTTTCAAACTAACAAAACAGTTGAAAGCACACATGATTGCACATTCTGAAGAACGACCCTTTAAATGTGATGTCTGCCATAAGACTTACAAACAATTAGGTCATCTAAAATATCACATGACGTTGCATAGCGGGGTACGCCCTCATGAATGCAATATATGCAATGAGACATTCAAACAATTAAGCCATCTGAAAGATCACATGGTCATTCATAGTGGAGTACGGCCCCATGAATGCAATATATGCAATAAAACATTTGCACTTTCAGGTAATCTGAAAAGACACATGGTTATTCATAGTGGTGAGCGCCCTCATAAATGCCATGTATGCAATAAGACATTTACAGAATTAGGTAGTCTGAAACGTCACTTGGTCATTCACAGTGGACTACGTCCCTATGAATGTGATATATGCAATAAGACATTCACACAATTAGTCAGTTTGAGAACACATACACTGATTCATGATAGAGAGCATCGTTATGAATGTGAAATATGCAATGAAGGATTTACTATATCGAAGGATTTGAAAAAACATATGCCACTTCATAGTCTGAAGCATGATGAAAATAAATGAAATAAACATATTTGTTACATTGATTTTAAATATTCTGCAAAATGTTATAAAGTAAACACCTTTACCTGTAATAGAATATATAAATGGTATAAAATATACAGTAAATGTTTGTATTGACAATCAATGCAATTGTTACATATTACACTATTCTATAATTGTTTTTCATATTTTAAATTTTATAAAGTATTAATAATGAGAATTACCAAACATTGATTCCGCTTTCCATAGCCACTTTAACCAGCTTTATATTGAGCAGTTGTTTTTTTTTTTAATCATAATGAAACATGTGAAAAAAATCTAGTGTCTGAACACAATCTACACTAAAAGATCTGCTCGAATATTAAAATTACATATTTCATTAGTCAATTTCTTAAATAAACTTTTGAAAATTCTTGTAACTAAAACAGTATACACTTAATCAAATAGGTTTCAAAGTTTTGGCAAATTCTCAAAAATTCAAATTTTTTTCAACATTTTTAAAACAGCATGAAGTTTTTCAAAATTCCAAATTAATACGTGAAGTTTCAGCAATATGCGTTAACGCACGATGCCATGCACCAATAGCTTAACCCAAATTATTTTATTATCTAGGAATTATTCATTCTAGAATTGTTAAATTATTTGTTGACAGTTGAGATATAGAGAACCGTATTGAATTTGAAAATACGCGCCATTTGTTAGTATATCAAAGTGAAGTGATCAATGACTCATCTTTCTAAAATTTGCTCTATGCTTCAAATGTCAAACGATAAATGTTGAAATCATCATTGTGTTGAAAATTATTGTTGATTAAACTAAATTATTATTTAGACCACAAATATTTATAAGTTCCGTAAATGAGTATAAGTAGTGAATAATTTAAACATGTCAGAAGACACAATTATGTCTATGAATGATCAGAAAATTAAAATTGAACCACCAGAATATTCAGAAGAAGATATTAAATGCGAAATTGAGGATCAATTTGATATTCTTGATGATATTGTTAAATCTGAATCGTGCCCTGAAGACCATGAAACATGTTTAGAAAGATTCATGAATTCCGAAGTGACTATAGAAGAAGAAGTCAAACAGGAGCCAATCGAGACATGTGATAATACTGGATTATTTGCAGAACCTGATCAATTAAAAGAGCATATGGTCAGTCACATGCCTAGTCAAAGCAAAGAACGTCCTTTCGAATGCGAAATCTGTCATAAAACTTTCAAACTAACAAAACAGTTGAAAGCACACATGATTGCACATTCTGAAGAACGACCCTTTAAATGTGATGTCTGCCATAAGACTTACAAACAATTAGGTCATCTAAAATATCACATGACGTTGCATAGCGGGGTACGCCCTCATGAATGCAATATATGCAATGAGACATTCAAACAATTAAGCCATCTGAAAGATCACATGGTCATTCATAGTGGAGTACGGCCCCATGAATGCAATATATGCAATAAAACATTTGCACTTTCAGGTAATCTGAAAAGACACATGGTTATTCATAGTGGTGAGCGCCCTCATAAATGCCATGTATGCAATAAGACATTTACAGAATTAGGTAGTCTGAAACGTCACTTGGTCATTCACAGTGGTCTACGTCCCTATGAATGTGATATATGCAACAAGACATTCACACAATCAAGCAGCTTGAGAACACATATGTGGATTCATCACAGAGAACATCCTTATAAATGTGAAATATGCAATAAAAGATTTACTAAATCCAAGGATTTGCAGACACACATGGCACTTCATAGAGGGAAGCGTGATGAAAATGAATGAAAATAAACATATTTGTTTACATTGATTTTAAATATTCTGCAAAATGTTATAAACACCTTTACCTGTAATAGAATATATAAATGTTATAAACTATACAGTAAATGTTTGTATTGACAATCAATGCAATTGTTACATATTACACTATTCTATAATTGTTTTTCATATTTTAAATTTTATAAAGTATTAATAATGAGAATTACCAAACATTGATTCCGGTTTCCATAGCCACTTTAACCAGCTTTATATTGAGCAGTTGTTTTTTTTTTTTAATCATAATGAAACATGTGAAAAAAATCTAGTGTCTGAACACAATCTACACTAAAAGATCTGCTCGAATATTAAAATTACATATTTCATTAGTCAATTTCTTAAATAAACTTTTGAAAATTCTTGTAACTAAAACAGTATACACTTAATCAAATAGGTTTCAAAGTTTTGGCAAATTCTCAAAAATTCAAATTTTTTTCAACATTTTTAAAACAGCATGAAGTTTTTCAAAATTCCAAATTAATACGTGAAGTTTCAGCAATATGCGTTAACGCACGATGCCATGCACCAATAGCTTAACCCAAATTATTTTATTATCTAGGAATTATTCATTCTAGAATTGTTAAATTATTTGTTGACAGTTGAGATATAGAGAACCGTATTGAATTTGAAAATACGCGCCATTTGTTAGTATATCAAAGTGAAGTGATCAATGACTCATCTTTCTAAAATTTGCTCTATGCTTCAAATGTCAAACGATAAATGTTGAAATCATCATTGTGTTGAAAATTATTGTTGATTAAACTAAATTATTATTTAGACCACAAATATTTATAAGTTCCGTAAATGAGTATAAGTAGTGAATAATTTAAACATGTCAGAAGACACAATTATGTCTATGAATGATCAGAAAATTAAAATTGAACCACCAGAATATTCAGAAGAAGATATTAAATGCGAAATTGAGGATCAATTTGATATTCTTGATGATATTGTTAAATCTGAATCGTGCCCTGAAGACCATGAAACATGTTTAGAAAGATTCATGAATTCCGAAGTGACTATAGAAGAAGAAGTCAAACAGGAGCCAATCGATACTTGTGATAATACTGGATTATTTGTAGAATCTGATCAATTAAAAGAGCATATGGTCACTCACATGCCTAGTCAAAACAAAGAACGTCCTTTCGAATGCGAAATCTGTCACAAGACTTTCAAACTAGCAAAACAGTTGAAAACACACGTGATTACACATTCTGAAGATCGACCCTTTAAATGTGATATCTGCCATAAGGCTTACAAACAATTAGGTCATCTAAAATATCACATGACGTTGCATAGCGGGGTACGCCCTCATGAATGCAATATATGCAATGAGACATTCAAACAATTAAGCCATCTGAAAGATCACATGGTCATTCATAGTGGAGTACGGCCCCATGAATGCAATATATGCAATAAAACATTTGCACTTTCAGGTAATCTGAAAAGACACATGGTTATTCATAGTGGTGAGCGCCCTCATAAATGCCATGTATGCAATAAGACATTTACAGAATTAGGTAGTCTGAAACGTCACTTGGTCATTCACAGTGGACTACGTCCCTATGAATGTGATATATGCAATAAGACATTCACACAATTAGTCAGTTTGAGAACACATACACTGATTCATGATAGAGAGCATCGTTATGAATGTGAAATATGCAATGAAGGATTTACTATATCGAAGGATTTGAAAAAACATATGCCACTTCATAGTCTGAAGCATGATGAAAATAAATGAAATAAACATATTTGTTACATTGATTTTAAATATTCTGCAAAATGTTATAAAGTAAACACCTTTACCTGTAATAGAATATATAAATGGTATAAAATATACAGTAAATGTTTGTATTGACAATCAATGCAATTGTTACATATTACACTATTCTATAATTGTTTTTCATATTTTAAATTTTATAAAGTATTAATAATGAGAATTACCAAACATTGATTCCGCTTTCCATAGCCACTTTAACCAGCTTTATATTGAGCAGTTGTTTTTTTTTTTAATCATAATGAAACATGTGAAAAAAATCTAGTGTCTGAACACAATCTACACTAAAAGATCTGCTCGAATATTAAAATTGCATATTTCATTAGTCAATTTCTTAAATAAACTTTTGAAAATTCTTGTAACTAAAACAGTATACACTTAATCAAATAGGTTTCAAAGTTTTGGCAAATTCTCAAAAATTCAAATTTTTTTCAACATTTTTAAAACAGCATGAAGTTTTTCAAAATTCCAAATTAATACGTGAAGTTTCAGCAATATGCGTTAACGCACGATGCCATGCACCAATAGCTTAACCCAAATTATTTTATTATCTAGGAATTATTCATTCTAGAATTGTTAAATTATTTGTTGACAGTTGAGATATAGAGAACCGTATTGAATTTGAAAATACGCGCCATTTGTTAGTATATCAAAGTGAAGTGATCAATGACTCATCTTTCTAAAATTTGCTCTATGCTTCAAATGTCAAACGATAAATGTTGAAATCATCATTGTGTTGAAAATTATTGTTGATTAAACTAAATTATTATTTAGACCACAAATATTTATAAGTTCCGTAAATGAGTATAAGTAGTGAATAATTTAAACATGTCAGAAGACACAATTATGTCTATGAATGATCAGAAAATTAAAATTGAACCACCAGAATATTCAGAAGAAGATATTAAATGCGAAATTGAGGATCAATTTGATATTCTTGATGATATTGTTAAATCTGAATCGTGCCCTGAAGACCATGAAACATGTTTAGAAAGATTCATGAATTCCGAAGTGACTATAGAAGAAGAAGTCAAACAGGAGCCAATCGAGACATGTGATAATACTGGATTATTTGCAGAACCTGATCAATTAAAAGAGCATATGGTCAGTCACATGCCTAGTCAAAGCAAAGAACGTCCTTTCGAATGCGAAATCTGTCATAAAACTTTCAAACTAACAAAACAGTTGAAAGCACACATGATTGCACATTCTGAAGAACGACCCTTTAAATGTGATGTCTGCCATAAGACTTACAAACAATTAGGTCATCTAAAAAATCACATGCTGTTGCATGAAGGACTATCTCTTCATGAATGCAATATATGCAATAAGCCGTTCACGCAATTAAGTAAACTGAAAAGGCACATGCTCATTCACAGTGGAGTACGCCCGCATGAGTGCAATATATGCAATAAAAAACATTCATGGAATTAAGTAAATTGAAAAGGCACATGCTTGTTCACAGTGATGTGCATCCGCATAAGTGCAATATATGCAATAGGTCATTCGCATACTTAAGTAATTTGAAAATACACATGCTAATTCACAAAGGAGTACGCCCCCATAAATGCAATATTTGTGAAAAGACATTCAATCAATTAGGTAATCTGAAAAGTCATATGCTGATACACAATGAAATACGTCCTCATGAATGCGATATATGCAATAGGACATTCAAAGATTTTGGTGCCCTAAAACGTCACATAGTCATTCACGGCGGAGTATGCCCCTATGAATGCAGTATATGCAATAAGAAATTCACGCACTTAGGTTTTCTGAAAAGACACATGCTTATTCACACTCGCGAGCGCTCCCATAAATGCAATATTTGTAATAAGACGTTTACACATTTAAGTTATCTGAAAAAACACATGATCATTCACAGTGATGTACACTCTTATGAATGCAATATATGCAATAAGACATTCAAACTTTCAGCTAATCTGAAAAACCACATGGTCATTCACAAGCGTCCCCATAAATGCAATCTTTGCAATAAGACATTTACAAAATTAGGTATCTTGAAACGTCACTTGCTAATTCACAGTGGAGTTTGTAGCCTTGAATGCAATATATGCAATAAGACATTCACACAATTAAGTAGTCTGAAAAAACATATGTTGATTCATCATAGAGAGAATCCTTATAAGTGCGAAATATGCAATAAAGGATTTACTAAATCGAAGGGTTTGCAGACACACATGGCATTGCATAGACGAAAGCGTAATGAAAATAAATGAAATTTACATATTTGTTACATTGATTTTAAATATTCTGAAAAATGTTATAAATTAAGTACCTTCACCTGTAATAGAATGTATAAATGGTATAAAAATATACAGTAATATCACATAATATGTTTGTATTGACAATCAATGAGAATGTTACATATTATATCATTATATAATTGTTTTTTCATATTTTAATTTTTATAATGTATTAATAATGGGAATAGCTTTATATTTAGCAGTTGTTTTTGATTAATAATAATGAAACATGTGAAAAAAATCTAGTGTACTGAACACAATCTAAAAGCTCTACTCAAATATTAATATCACATATTTCATAAGTCAATTTCATAAATTAACTTTGGAAAATTCTTGTAACTAAAACAGTATGGACTTACATGAGTTTCAAAGTTTTGGCAAATTCTTCAAAATTCTCAAAATAATTTTTTTTTTCAACATTTTCGAAACAGTATAAAGTTTTTCAAAATCCCAAATTAATATGGGAAGTTTTAGCAATATGCCTTAAGGCATGATGTCATGCACCAATAGATTTAACTAAAGCCCGGTGCACACGACGCCAATATTTCTTGTAATAGAATTTCTGTCAAGTTTTCTGGTAAGACGAACAAGAAAATTACGCCAGATTTTAACTCATTTTATGATTAATAATAATTTTGTTTGCATTTTCAAATAGATTATTATAAATATATACTGTGAATTTCACAATTCATATTTTATAGGCATAAAATGCACTAATGCTCATAAGTGTTTCTCATACACTTATATACTCTATATATATATATGTGCAGGGCCGGTCCTGCCTTGCATGCGATGCATGCAAAAAATGCGGGCGCACGCCTTAGGGGGCGCCAAAACGAGTTTCGGAAATTAAATTTTTGATATAATATTTATATTCTTTTATAGAAAATCTAGAATTATTTATATAAAATCTAGAATACTTAATAAATTATAATAAACAATCTAACTTAAGTATAGGGATTCGGAGACACAAAAAGCATTATTTATTTTGCAATGTGATATCAGTAAAAACAATTAACCGATTAATAACTCTGCAAATTAGTAAATAACAGCTCTGTTCATTGCTTAATCTACTTATTCAATTTTGTTTTTCTGAAGTGACCGTAGAATCGAGAAGGAAATTATATAGTGTTCAATCCCATAAGCGCAAACCTGCGAAAGATTAAATTAATTATTGGGCATTATTGACAAATTGGGCATTATGGCAAAATTTCGAGCTAATTTAGTTGAAACGGAACTTGTTAACAAATATAAACAAATTATAATCGGGAAATAAAAAATGGGGAGTCAGTGAAATTGAATTGTAACTTTTGCTTTTATTGCAAATGTTTCGCATATGATGAATTTTGAATGTTGAAGAGATGCGTGGTTAGGGTTATGGAAATGGAACAAATATGAAAAATAGAAGCAAAATTTACTTTGTAACAAAAATCTTAAGGCTTTTTCATACCTAGTATGTCCATACTCTGAATTTAATAATTATTAACTATGCAGAATTAATACATTATACAAATATAACAAATATAACAAGTTTGGTTTCAATATAGTTCAAGAAATGTGTAATTTTATTGCATTTTTTACTGATTTTTGGACATACTTCTAAAATATGTTAATAATTTAACTTTAGAACAACAAACTGATACTATGAATATGACGAGAAAGCAAGGATGAATACAATTCGTCTCTTACGATATCAATAAGGAGAAGTTTACGACGCAATTTTGGATATTGTAAATGCTAAAAAATTAAATTAAATTAAAATTTAAAAAATCCAACATGAAATACGAGTGTTATGATTGAAAATGAAAACCTAGTTCATTTTAGCTCTCTGGGCATGGTTTGCTCAATAGGATAAATCGCATAATAAATAAGTAAAATGTTTTAAAACCCAAATATTAATATTTCACTTACGTTAAAAATAATTGAAAATTTAAAAATATTTGCTTATAATAAACCCGCGAATCGCTTCGATTTTCTAAATAAATTTTAAATCAATATATTTTATACGCTTTTAAATTAAATCTAATTTTTATGTACTAAATCCAGAATAATTAAAAATTAATTTTTAGAAAATATGTAAATATTTATATAATTTTAATGATAAACTGTTAAAACAGTTAAAATTAATAGGGGGGGGGGCGCTAGAAAAAAAGTTGCATGCGGGCGCTAAGGACCCCAGGACCGGCCCTGTATATGTGTATATAAGTATATATAGAGTATATAAGTGTATGAGATAAAATCATCCTAATCGGATATATACTCAGATATATATAATAAGAGTATATATACTCTTCTTTTATCTATGATCTCATATTTCTAAGGACTAATTGAAATAATTATAATAAAAAGATAATAAACTGCATGCAGT